TTGGCACGAAAAGTTTTGTGACCTCCATTTATTAATTAAAATTTACAAATTATATAGTATTCCGAGAAAAGAGGATTTTATACACCCATATATGTTTTGGTGATCTCTTTACCCCGATATCTTCATATTCTTTCCATATGACACATGCAATATTATTGTCGATAGGTACTTTTAGGAATAGAACAGTAAATTTTTAGTAATAATATTTGCGGGATGTTGTGCTGTAGCCTTAAAGTTGTCATGAATGCACAAAATTTTTCTAATTTCCTCAATAAAATACATTACCGTGCCCATTTAACCACGTCTTATTTCTTTCTTAAAAAAATAAGAAAATAGGGCTCGTAATGTACTAAGTCCATCCGAATATTATAACCTGTTAAGAACCCGTTAAGTTAAATTTTTAGTGCTTCTCCAGTACGGTGAATTGTCCTTGTGAAATCATTTAATACCCTATCATCCTAAAAAAGTGAATGTTATTGCAACCATACTTGCCATACTTAACATAATAACGCATTTTTAATATATTTTTTCTTTTATACAAAGAAGACATAATCGTTGTCGTGTTATATATATAAAGAAAAACTTTTCCACCAAACTCTAAATAGTATTTTTTGATTGACGTCTGTATAATAGAAGTCCTGTCTTTTGGCGATGCCGCGTCGTTCCTATTTTTAACTGGGTCAAGCCTATTGCAGCAACCTTGCAGGTTTCGTTAACAAGCCATTTTTGCGATATTATTGTCCTCTTTTGAAGTCCATTTTTTGTTTTTCATTTCTGTTTTGAAAGCAATACTCAGGCGCTTGTATAAACTTGTCCAAGAAATCGGAGCAGTAGAACTGGTTCGACACTGCTGCTAAAAATTTAAAGGTGTAAGCCCATTGATATTTTTTGCGAAGACATAACTATTCACAAGCTTTTTAATAGCACCTTATGCATTTTTAACACGCTCAGTAATATCGGTTTTAATTCCTCTCCTCTTTAGTTATCATACAGCCATGTTAGCAGAGCTTCTCGATATTCTCAATTATAACTTCTTGGTTATCATCAGGCATTGTTAGAGGATGTTTGTACTTGTTCGCAATGCTCATCAGTGTTTGTTTATTTAGGTTAATCTTAAACCTGACAGCTTTAGTATTTTGAGACAAAAAAAACTCTGCTTTGACTCAGTCTAATGTGTGGGTCATAATACAGTATTTTATTTCCAGATTGTTTATGTAGGCACAACCCAAAATTAGTCACATTGGCTTCAAAAGTTGCTGACACAACTTAAATTTGTTTTGTGTTGACAAGGCAGGTTTCCAGCTCCTTGTCTTTACAAGTTCCTCCTTTTAAAATTGTTAGTTTTGTAAATACTTTTATTATAATCAAATGATTTTGTGTATCCATAGTAAAGTCTTTTGTGGTAAAGAAAATATAGTGCTTTAGATAAATCCGTTGTTTTAGAAAAATCCGTTACTGATTAGATTAATAGAGGATAGATGTCTCTGAGCTACATTTATTATTATATATACTTTACTAAACATCTCATATTTAGTGTTGAATAACTCTAATTATTTAGTAGTTCATTACATATGTATATTCGTCCTTGTCAAATTATTCCAGTGCCGCCAAACAGGTGGGTTGTACTGTTAGTTTGAATAATGGGTAGTTCAGGCACTTCATTAGGTCTCGGCTTTAAACCGATTAATGAATAAATTTTTTTATATTTAATGCTGATAAATTGTACGTGGTAAACTTTAAACCTTTCTTTCTGCATTAAAAGAGACAAATTCTTTGAACTGTATTTTCGATGTAATTTCGGCAAAGTATTTGTTAAAATAAATTTAGCATAAAATAGTTATATTTCTTAATACTTTATATATCTAACAATGAACCGTTTTATATATAATATAAGACAAAAACAAGGGCAAAAGAAATGTATTTAAACTACACCCAAATTAGATCAAAACAGACAGCTCTATTAAGATTTTTTAACTTCTCGATATTTATATGTACAATTGTGAGTAATATATATATAAAAAAATATACATATATGAAGTTTTATGGGACTCTATGGTTCGAGATATCTGATTATTTGATTTGTTATAAAATTGGCGAAAATATTTCTGTTTAAATAATCAAAAATATAAAATATACTTCATATAGTTAAATGTATTTAACCTATTTAAAAAATTAAAAGCTATAATTTATATCAATAGTAGTACCGAATGAAATTTTTAAAATTTTAAGTCTCTTTATAATGAGAGTGTTTATATAACCGACCAAAATCACCCATGTACGTTATTAATAGTTAAATAAATTACATTATATGAAAATTAATTACACAAATTAGGATTAATTTTATTTTATTGACCACTCCCAGAAAATAATTAATTAGGAGTGTAACAAAAGATACAAACATAAGGTCCTACACGTCTTAAAATTATAATTTTGTTCTTTTAACAATCTTTTGCGGGACCGTAGTTAGAGTAAAGTTTCGAAGAATAATAAAAAAATAACATTTAGGGACATTTCCTTCTCTGCCCACCTTTGCTTGCGCCATAAGTCCAAGAAAGTTGGAACTATGCCGCCACAACAGGGTATTTTAAATATCTTTAGATACTTTATATAAATGATTGTAGTACATTGCAGCAGATTTCAGGGATATTAGATATACGAGAGTGTAAGCATATAACTCAGAGGACACAAATCGCAATTCCAATAGGTACACATCATACATACACATAAACAAGACTACACTAATAAGTAGTTAATAATTATTATCATAAATGTATTATAAATTTTTTCGATATCATGTTATTTCAATTATAATTATTAAGAAAAATATACGTAATGTAAACAAAACTAAGTTAATTGTGTTTCAATTACGTGTGATAATTTATATTTTAAATGGAAATATTTGGTATATGTGCTCTTCTGTCCTGCATATACTTAAAACTCAATCAGTTAAGAGACCAGGAGGTTAAAGTAGATATTATATCTTATCCTTTGAAGTTAAGCAGTAGTAAAAACAAATTTTTTTAAAGTAACTAAGTTTAAAATTAATATAAATGAAAGAAATATTCGAATTAATTATTTATTTTTATAAAATAAATAGTCTATAATTTATTTTGAATCGATAGTATTTTAAATGATTTATACATTGTCGCTTTCCACTTGCTTCAGCTTTTCTGAATTCAATATATGGTTCTAATTTAATATAAAATTTTTTTGACTGAATGGAGAAAATTTATATCATCCCAACTGACCGGATTCCAGTGAATGTCGTTATTAAAAATTTACATAAATTATGGATCAACTATTTATTATTACTCGGTACGCTACAGCAGTGAGAAATATATAAGAGTTAACGTATGTATTCTACACATGAATAATCTAATATCTTTACTTAGAATTTTGTAAAAAATATTATTTTATATAATAATTTTAAAATATATTATTTTATAATAAATATTAACTGTCTGATTTTATTGTATTCAATTTTATTTAATTTATTTTACGTAACATACAAAATAGGTAAATGTAGACTAGAAAGCAACACACCATTCGACCGTTGGCGCAGGCGTAATTTAGCGGAACCCAGAGAAAATATATCCTTAATTTTAAAACTGAAAAACTGACAACAAAAGTTTTAGTCATTATAATTATATCTTTTATTGGTATTTTTGATACAGTTTTTACAATCAATCAAAATATATATATATATATATATATATATATAAAATAAGAAAAAAATATTGCTATATTATATAGAACAACAGAAAGAGTTAATGTGAATACATAACGAAAGCTTATGCTAGTGATGAAGCCTTACAACTGCGGAGAAATTAATTTTAGGACTAACGTTACTGATGAAGTCACAGAAGTGTTGGTGGGAAGTGACTTATTTATGAGGCCAACTACATAACGCAAAAGAGAAGTTCTTTGTAAGTATGTACTTGAATTTCTCGTAAAAATACGGAAATGCTGGGAGCAAGGGACGCATTTGTTCTTCCAGAAACTAATTATTAAATAACTTGAAGATTTTCATTTCCATTGAATAATTTTCAAGTTGAAGTGTTAAAACAAAAAAATAAATGATATTGATTTATATCTTATTTTTTAAATTAAAAACATAAAATAGCTTCTATTCGAAACCTCTTTTATAAAGTGCAATAAAAAATATCTTTTAATACACACTCAGGGTGTCCTGAGTGTCCCAATCTGAGATAACAGGGAAATTTATGAAATGTTGTCCCCACAAACCAGCTTTCATGACCGTATACTCGTTTGGTTGAAATTTTGTATTTTGGTTACAATTATTTCGTTTACGGAAAATGATTCTTTATATTCCTTCGCTTCACTATATTGTTATATTTTAAGACTTCTGATTAAAATTGCGATTATTGGCTATATCTACCATATGCGTCTTTAGGCGCTTATATCAGTCTCTTTCGCTATCTGATCATATTTATTAAGTGATCAAAAGTACATGAAATCCTAGGTATGTCCAATTTTTATATAAGGTCAATAGATATGGACACTTAAAGTTGATCATCTTTATTATGTTTTCCAAAGTACAGGAAATCCTAGGTATGTCCATTTTTTATATAATGTCGCTATAGACCCGAAAATCATGAACATTCGAAATTAGTGCCAAAACTGTGAAGTGAACTTTGACCCAAACCTAGTTGTAATTGCCAAGAACAACGATCCTGAAATGACCAAACTTTTCAGTTTGTTTTGGGATGATTCAAATAGATTGTCTTGTAAAAGATGGTGATATAATATGATAAATTACTATTTTCAGTTGTTTTTCGTACTAAACTATGAAAGTACGATTTATCACTCAAAGCTGCTTTTATCTGAGCTAATTGTAAAATTGATATTTAATGAATTTTATGTGATATGTGATTATAGCACAACATTGTAGATAAAGTAGTAACGTAGTTTAGCTAAAACAGTTTCAACTGCACCTACCAGTTCCAAATAATGATTAAACTAAACATTTCTTTCAGATTTACTAATTATATTTTATTTCTGTTTTTCTATATAACATATGTATATAAGGTTCTATCTCGTACCATTATTCTATTTGTTTGGGAATTGATAAATCGGTTTGTCAGTACTATCACGTGCATATATTAGATATTTCCATACGGTAATTGCACTTCTGTTCCGATTATAATAAGATCAATTTCTTTTAAATAGTCTGTTTTCCATTAAGATCATTAATGAAGGCAGTGCACCATACATTTTGGTTTAACAAATGTTTTTCCAGTTGTTAGGTTATGGTAAATGTTCAAATTCGTTTTGCTGTTTGGATTGTTGTCACTAAATACCGCAAATATTTGATTATCTCATTTAATGATTACTGCTTAACTTAACTTATGATCAAGTGTTATATTTTCGACATTTGGTTACAAGTCAATATAAATGTACTTTATTAACTATAAGCCTCGAATTACAAAATGAAGACTGTAAGAGACAAAGCTTAATTAAATTTAACAAAATTGATAAATATTACAAAAAAAAATTAACATATGTTAAATAGATCTATTCTATTAGTTCTATTAGTTTTTATGGTCCAAGTATAAAAACTATATACATGTATTTATACAAAGATTTAGATTTTCGTTTCTGCATCCTTAATTTTAATTCAAAATGTAATTCAAATTTTGTAAATTCGTATCAACATTATTGTTCATTCGGCTATCAAACATTGAGCTAATTATAAATTTAAAAACACAGTGATTGCTGGGATATTCATTGTATTTCCATATCATATGTACATCATCTCAGCCATTTGAGACATTTTTTTCGGTATATGTACGAAGGTATCGAAATAACTGGCTAATTCATCCACAGTGACATCATCGATGGCAGTACTTCCTGTAGTATTGGCACCATTGCCAGCCTGTTGGGAACATGATGTACTTGCTCGCGATGGTGAAGTCGTACGTGTAGTAATACTATTAATTGATACTATATGCTTATTATCAATGCTACTATTACTATCACAACCATTATTAGATTTTGTATTGCTATTTGTTTCTTTCGATTTTTGTATTGTTGTAAATATTTTTGAATTATTACGCAAATTTATATTCATCTTTTTGAATTGTTGATTGAAATCGGCATTGCGTAGCAGTAACGATTCGCATCCTACTATTAAATCTCGAAAATCGTAGATATCATTTTTTTTGTGTAATGAATCAGTCTTCTGACCAGTGTCATTACCTAAAATACACTCTTCATTATCAAGAGATCGTTCCAATGAACGACGATAACAAGTTTGCGATTGAATATTGAACTTGTTATGCAATGCATCCAGTACCGGCGGGGATAATACAGTCCTGCGCTTTCCGCTCGTTACAGCATTTGTTTTTTTAAAACTACAGCGCTGCACTCCTGGAACATCACGTACTACACTTAATTTTTCCATATTTGTTGTATCAACAATATTATTTCCCCCATTTTTTAAGTCATCGGCCACACTTTCGGAATTATGGCGAGGACGACATCTGCGCCAACATCGTTTTTGTTTGTGTTGACTATGTTGTGCGTGGGGATAGAGTATGGCACTTTTTTCGTCTTGCAAATGTAAACTGTCACTAGATTCAATCTTGTAAAATGGATTTAATAAGCTTGGTATGTTACAGTGCATTAATTGACGTAATGGTGCATGTGATGGATTAATTTTCAACTTTTGCAATTCTGACCCGAGTTCCTCGGTTCCCATTTTGAGGTTTTCAATCCTACTACAATTGGAATGTTGGTGTCTTTATACAAAGCAATAGGTTTTATTTACTTTTTAAGACATCAAGCACTATGGAGTAGTACGTCCTTGGGGCCTTGAATAAAAGTTTATATTGTTGACTTCCGTGTTCTGTTGTTATTTTTGTACAAAAGAAATTTCTAGAAAATCATGCCAAAAAAACAAATGAAAAATAAGATGTAAATTTAAAAGTGATGAAACGTTAAAGAAACTTACATTAACTCCGCCTTTTCCTTATTATAAAACTTTTAGAACTATTTTTTGACAAAATAGATGATTTGTGTTTTTCCTATTTATTTTTATTTTCTTTATTTACGCGAAATCGCTGGTTACAGAGTTGTATCGTAAACGTATACCAAAAAACGCAAAAGTACTTTTTTTCGCTAAACAGCGCATTTTAAAAAAGTATAAAAAGTTACTGCAATCGCAAACACGTAAAATTTTTCATAACGAATTTATAAAAGGTTTTTTTCTAACGAATTATTAATTTTTGCATATTTTTGTTTAAATTAAAAATAAACAAAAGAACAAACGTTTAATGAGATAATAATTTTAAACAAATTCATATTAAAGAATTGGGTGCATGCATTTGTGTACAAACGACGCTAGTTACTTGGTTTTTTCAAATTATAATAATAAAGCATATAAATAAATTGAACTTGTAAAAGATATTTTACAACTATTATATTATATAAAAAAGTAACAAAATTAAACTAACTTATATAAAATACTTTTAAATAACTTCTAATATAATTACAATTAAAATGTAATATAAAACAACTATTTAATTATTGCCATTTTAGTGCAAAAATTACAGAAGAAAAGAAATTTTTTTTTATTTGGTCAAATATATTGTTTACAGTCGTTTTATTTAAATTTTATAAAATTTCAAATTAAATTATTATGGTTTATTAGAAACTAAAAAATATTTTTTCACATCTATTGAATTTTACAATTAATGATATTTAATGGCGTTTTCAATTACCACGTAAATCTGGAGTAACTTTTTTAATCGAGATTCACTTTTAGTGCAATTTTCATTTTTGATTGGTAAATCTGTATAACACTTGAAATTAATGTATAACATTCGAGATTAATTTATAACACTTCAGATATTTGCAAGAGTAGCAAGATTACCCTTAATTTAACAGCTGCTTTATATGATTTCACAGATTAAAAAGTGCGACTTGTTATCAATCGAAAACATCACAAGTCTATTATTGTTTGAATATAAAATTTCAGATATATAATCTTGAGCAAAAAAATGTATTGATAGTATCATTTAATAATAAAAAAAAAACAAAAGTAAAATTTGAATTTTTAAAATAATATTGATCAATTACTGAACAACATGAAAACAATTTATTTATGGTCTATTGTTTGAATTAATATTTTTTAATTTTGAAAAACAACAATTAACGCAAGTTTTTATTATACATCACATAATTTTAAATACATCAATTACGGGTAGTTTTTGTTGTATTCAACATATAGAACGATTACCTGTCTTTCCCTAGATCCCTTTACAATGTAAAACTATTTAATATAGGAGTATCTCGATATACCTAGTACCTCTATGAGGGCTGATTCAGTTTTCAATATTCTTATTTTCATTAATAATAGTCACGGTTTTTCATTTAATTTTTATTTTTATTATTTAGGACGTGTGCGAGTTAGGCTAAGTTGCGTTCTAAATGAGGGAAATTCTAAGATGAGCCGATAATGTAGTGATGGGTCGATACGTGTTGATAAATGGCTAAATGTGTGCAGTGCAAAAAATCCCAAAAAATCTCCCATTTGGTTTAGCATCAACTTAGCCTAACTCGCACACGACCTTAGTACTTCTAACTTAAGTCAGGTGAAGAATAAAAATTATAAAAAATAAGTAATAATTTTATAATAGAATATTTTTAAATTGTTGTATATGATATTATATAATTCTTTAACTATTTTCATATACATGTATTAAACGATCTACCATAAAACATGCGGCGTTCATTATAAATACGATGATATTCGTTACATTTTTTGTTTATTGGGTGGTATTCTATGTTTTTTAATTGAATGTGAATCCCATATATTATTTATTCTGAAATTTAGTGTTAAAAATATAATAAATTAAGACATATTGAAAGAAATAAAACAGAGAATAAAAGAATAACTTTTTCCTTTACTTTAAATTTATTTTTTTCATATTTTCTTACCATTTTCTTGTTTTTATGTGAAACAAAACAAGTAAAAGTAATATCAGATATCTTGGTAGTTTAATTTATAATTGTCCGTTCCTGTGTACACTGACTTGATAGACGCAGTTAGATATTTCATGACAAAACAATAAGTAAAAGTTCAAAAGATACATTTAAGGTCGTGCGCGAGTTAGGCTAAGGTCGTGTGCGAGTTATATGGCGTTTACATTGGCCGAAAATGGCTCATTTTGGTCAAAAATCGAAAATGAGTATCGAATGGCTCATTCTTGCATATAAAATTTCAAGCACAAAAATGAGCAATTTTCTCACATTCTGTATGAAAAACGTTCGAATGCATTCCACATATGTTCCAAATGCAAAGGAATCTATTGAACATACCCTAAATGAAAGCTCTTCATGGCATTTTGACAGTTTGAAACAGCTGTTTTGACATATTTACAAAAAAAGGTAAACAAATGTTTGGTGGTTGCATTTTCTTTAAAACGATGCACCAATTTTTGGAACTTCTACTTCCCAAAAATAAATAAATCGAATCTAGAAACAAATTTTCAGTTTATATTGTAAGGTTTGAAGGTATATTTAACCTTCCTGTAACATTTTTTTGGCACAGACCAAAAATTAAATCAACATGCAAGTTGTGAAATCAGCTGTTTGAAATGAGAAAAAATGAAATACAACGAATGTAAACACTTTCAAATGACTCATTCAGAATGAGCCATTTTCAGCCAGTGTAAACGCCATATTAGGCTAAGTTGCGTTCTAAATGAACGAAATACTAAGTTGTGCCGATAATGTAGTGATGTGTCGATACGTGTTGATAAATGGCAAAATGTGTGCAGTGCAAAAAATCCCAAAAAATCTCCCATTTGGTTTAGCATCAACTTAGCCTAACTCGCACACGACCTAAGTGATCATACCGAAATATCATTGTATGTGGTCATATGTTTTTGTTTTGTCAAAAATATGTAAAAACATTATGGATGCAAAGAAATAATTATAATAATGCAAACGTTTTAGGGTATTATTGTTGAATATGTGCAATTAACAGAGTTTTTATATGATAGTAAAATAGAAATTTAAGAGTAATTTTAAATTTCCTGTGATCATTAAAGAAAAATTTGTTATTGGTTTTTTTCAAAAAACTTGTATTCAAAACATATGTTTTCATCATGTAATGTAAACAAAAGTACATTCAGTGTATGTCAACAAGAAGAAATTAGAAAATTTTACGTATAACCTTGCGCAAAACCCTGATTATTTAGATAGTGCGCAAATTCGAGTAAATTGATGGTAAATTGAGGAAAATAGTAAATTATTTTGGTGTGACAACTAATGTTGGTATTTACTAGAATTTCGAGTAGGGCATATTACGTAAAAATTAGGTAAAGTAGATATTATCATTGTGAAAATTTTATAAGATGTTTAATAAATAAATTTGAAAACTTTTAACAGAAAAATAATAAATAAGTGCAATAAATAATTGTTTACATAAATGCAGTGCAAAAAATTTCAATTTACTTTACCTAGGAAAATTTCAACGTTTCAATTTACCTAGGAAACTTCAATTTACTTTACCTCAATTTACTCGGACTGGCATACTGCCTTATTTGTGCCAATTATGAATTACTATTAATTATCTCATTAACTCGAAAAAAGGGAAAAATTCACCACAGTCATATAAAAATTTTGAATGAGTAATTTTCGGTGGCCAGAGTGTTCATTCAGAGGTAATTTTAACATTGTTTGGCCATAACTTTTACTTACTTAAGAGAGCTTGTTTCTGCAAAACGCAGCTGATTTATATCCGAGAAAGTCGATATAAAATCATGATAGCAAACATGGCGTGTTTTAAAACAGATTAATATTGACAGTGGCTATTTCTGATAGTTGAAAATGCAAATTTTTTGACAGAGGCAGGGATTCTAGGAAATTCAAAAGCTAATTTCTGCTATGTGACTATATTCTAAGTGCAATCTATATGTCAAAAATTTACAGCGGAAAGATTCAGTCGAATTCATTTATACAGCTTAATAGCAAATTTTCAATAAACTGCGGAGGAAGGTCTAGTTAGGAAACTTATATCGCAAGACCTGAGGTAAATCTGCGAGACCTCTTAAACAATTGTATCAATAAAATGATGGCATATCTGAAGTCCGAACCGGCGCAGCACCTGTGTCTTCGTCTGCACGAGGTTCATAAAAGCGCAAGAAGGCAACTACAAGCGCGAATATTCTATTAGAAAGCAACTCAGCGATACTTGGCACATCGATCATCCTCAGCAATGGAAAAAAAACTTAAGCAAAAGCAGTTATGCATGTATTGGGATGACCCAAATGCAGTCGAGTGATGTACCATATATTATTAGTGATACTAATAATATATCAATAATAATAATAGCACCAAAGGGAAGGCCTATATACATTCCGCAAGCTATAAAATTCATTTTATGGATAGCTATACTTTTTTTCCTTTCTTCGGAACAAACTGTTAGATTGTTAGCCTAATCTGAGGTTTTGGTAGGCTGAGGGGAATTTAAATTTTCAACGGTGATAACTCAACTTTTCTAGGAATTGTCTGCTGATATACAGAAAGTTTCGAAAATGTTATGAAAGCCAGACAGTTTCGTACTTTAAATATGGATGCACCAAGCATAAGCTATAGAAACAACATTAAATGTAGTTATTTTGTCGCATCCTCTGCTTACTTTTCATACCGTTGCTGCATTCTTCTCCGAGGATTGTAAACGAACTATAATGTGATTCGAACATCTATCATTATATTATTCTCAGTGATTTGAGATCCCAACATACAATCTAAGGTATAAGCAAATGTCTATGCAGGACTGAACATAGAAAATGTGGATACGTCCACAACATTTATTACAGTTAAGCATCAGGAAGATAAAGACCTAATAATTGCAAATAAATGGTTGTTAGAAGGACCAGTAACAGTTATAATTAAAGATATAAAAATCAACTAATAAGTCTTATCATTCACGTTTGATAAGAAAATAATTAAAAGTTTACATTTCTTTAAAATAATTATTATTATGTGCCTTTTCCTTTCCACGCACAAATAACTCATAGACTCTTCTTTTTATTTTAAATAATTATTGTTTTTGCTTCAAAAATAAAAAACTCAAGATAACTATTATTTATGAAACACAAAAATAAAACTCCATGTGTGTAACCTATTTTTGA